TTTTTTCTCTGTATCTATGAAGCGCCTTGAGGCGACTTATGTTGTGATTTGGCGCTATATAAATAAAATTGAATTGAATTGAATTGAATTGTTGTCATGTACCTGTTTTTATTCAGAAATTGCTTTTCTCCACAGTGAAATTCTCCATTTGATTTGCAGATTGAATGCTTTCAAGAGAATGAAAAGGTCATGGCGACACCAATACATGAATGTATTAAAATGGACACCAGATAAAAATCAGTATCGATTTAAGCAGAGCAGAACTCTGACAAAATAACGAAAACATCCCATAGTGTCTGACGTTTATACCAAGTCAACTTGTTGATCCCAGGTGGAATGATCTGCTAGGCTGCTATCTGCATAATCAAACTCAATGACTTTCCTCTGTTCCCATACTTGAGCTGCATTTAGAAGTTTCAGTTAGAGAAGATGACAAGATCTACTTTCTCCTGACTTTAAAAGCCCAGTTCATGCAGACAAAAGTTTTCAGAGAAGAAGAAGGTGGCGATGTGATTAAACATTTGCAACGACGACAAAGAAGAAAAGAACAGATGCGTTCACAAAACTGCACCCAGAATTTCGTCCTTGCGAATCCCTGTGCACAGTCGTCTCTTAATGTAGGAACTGAACTGATCTTGAACAAGCCTCAGAAAACATCTTGTTTATGGCTCATTGTTACGGAAGTGGCTGAATGTATGCTTGCTGCCATTCTTATCTGTTATAACACATGGGGTCATGAGGGCGAAGGGGTTTACTGGGCAGAGATAAGCTCACACAGAGCTGGGTGTCTGCAGAAAAATCTTAAAAAGCATCGATTTCACGTTCTGAAATGTCACTCTTGTTTTCTATTCTGCTCCATTATCTGACTTTAGTTATTACATCTTTCCAAGGTCCAAGTCACAGTTAATGGTTATCTAAGAATTAATACAGCATTAATACACTAAGAAAGCCAAATGTTCAGCTCATTAGACTAAAAAAAAAAAACAAACAGTAAAGCAACAAAGTGCCACATTTTAGAATCTGGAATGATGATCAGATGATTTTAGGTTACATTAATTGACTCTTTCAGCTAAAATTCAGGGATTTTCCTGAGCCTTGAATAGCTGCTTGTTGGTGACACCAGCACAGCTGACCGGCATCTACTGAAGGCAAAGAGTTTGTCTTATTTTATTTAACAGAAATATTATTGGGGGTTTTCCTATTATTCCTGAAGTATTTGTGTACAAAATGTCTACAAATGTTGAGTAGATGAACCCCAACTTGAATTAAATGCTTACAGATTTAATTTTATTACAGCGCTGCTTATTTTCCTTTACGTCTGCCTGAAACCTTACTCTTCAATAGCACATAAACATGGGCACTTCCTAGATCACATAGGGCCCAATTTGATCACCAGAAGGTTAGATTTCTCATTAAATTATTCATAAAACGGTGGAACATCCTGACATCTTTAAAAAAATAAGTGCACTTTTCAATGATGTGTCAACGTCTTTCCACATTCAGTGACACAGCTGTCATTACATGCACCACACGATTACGGATCAAAGAGGAAAGTTACACAGCCGTTGCTTTGTTGAAACTAAACAGAAGTATTTCACATCTTTTATTTGAAGCAACTTACATCATCCTAGAAATAATTTTAACTTTCCAGATGTTTTCACTGTGATGAAGCACCGCTGCCATCACCACAGCAGGTGTTGTGTCGTATCGATAATGTCTGTAATTAATGACTCCACCGCAATTTTCACACTTTGTGAGGTCACCCAGTGACCCAGATTGGACACAGGTTTGACACTCCTGCTGTACATTGACAATGGTTTTCCTTGATATCTCTCATATTTTTGGATGGTTTTTTGATCAAGAGGCAGACATGATATTTGAACCGTGTGGTATCACAAAAGGTCAAACTTCAAACCACACTGAGAGATATTTAAAATGAGCAGAAAAGAACAATTTTAAGTCAGAGCACTTAATTAAAGTAACCTGTATTAAAAGTGAATTCAAATAATAACTAAAGTAAATTGAATGCCATCTTCAATATCCTGAACTCGATAAGTGCTTAAGAAACTTCACGGATCTTTTCCTTTTCTTTTCTTGTCCTACATCTGCTTCTGCATCGATTTTTTTGGGGGGAAAAACTTAAATTTGACCATTTGTCTTCTCAAAAAGGGACTTACAAAACACACAGGAGCAGGTGTACAGCCATACTGACATACATGTGCTCCTCAGGCAGCAGTTTCACTGTCAGGTGTAAAGAAATTTTAAAAAGAAACGTATTTATATCAAATGTCAGTAGATAAACATGTTCACTCCAACACACAGAATAGCATCAGTTTTAAAGGTAATTTACAATAGTTACTATATTTTCGATGGATTCAAGGTGTGTGTGTGTGTGTGGGGGGGGGGGTGTGTGTGTGTGTGTGTGTGTGTGTGTGTGTGTGTGTGTATGTGTGTGTGTGTGTGTGTGTGTGTGTCAGTAAGCAAACTGTGGTAAAAACTCTCCTACTGGGGTTTTGCATAAAGTAAATAAGCAGTAATAAACAGTTGTGTGATTCTTCTGACAGTTCACGCATTTTCTTTCCGCTTTACATGAAGTTTGTAAACTGGGATCTTCTTGTTAACCTTACAAACTGGCGCACTTGACCTGCAGATTAAAAAGCAGGAATCCGTCTTACCTGGAGTAAGCCTCTTTAACGCCTCCTGTGGCGCGATTCCTCAAACACAAACCCACGCGGGGAGCAGGAACCGGCCGGTGGCCCGTCGATTGAGCAGATAGTGGGGATGAAGTCCGTACGAAGAGTCGGGAGCTGTTCTAACAGCTGCTGCTGCTGTTGCTCGGTGCTGATGTGCTGTCCGCGGAGCGAATGCGCCTTTCACCACCCTGTCACAGTATTTCTGTCCCCCTCCCCTCCATAAGGAGCTTTTCCTCCACCTGATCCCGCGTCATTAGCCAAACACCAGCTGGAGCTCTGGACTCCCCCACCCATCTTTACTGAACCACCTCCTCGTCTCCATTGCGCTCTGCTCCGAGGAGCAATGTGTGGAAGACAGTTAGTGCCAAAATAGAAATACAACGTGTGCGCTAAATGAAGCAATTTAAACAGAAACAAAAAAAAGTAACATTTTTAAAATAAATTCTAAATTAGAGCCAGTTTGTTCATATGAAGAAGTCCCAGTTTTAAGAGAAAGGAAATTTATAAATGACTAAATAGTGTTGGGTTTTTTTGTTTTATTTTTTGCACTAACTCCACTTTGCAGGTATTTATTTGTAAAAAATGTTTGGAACCACTTTGTATTGGTCTTTCATGTGGAATTCAAATAAAATTGATTCATGTTTGTGGCTGTAATGTGACAAAATGGTAGTCACTTCAGTGGCTCTCCTGGAAGCAGGGACACGTTTCTCTTGGTTCCCACCCACTTCCCATTGCTGTTGCTTATTTCGCAGTATCAGAATGTCTTTCACTTTCTGTGGTCTCTCTTTGGACTTTTGGATCTCCGTATTAATCAGTATATTCTGGTTATACCTCATATTACTGTCTATGTTACCAGAATGTGTACATATCTTTCTGGGAAGCTGCATGTCAGGCTACCTCATAGGTTTAACAAAGTACTCAAGTGTAACATCCTGTTTGGAAATGGGCACCAATAAGTGAGGATGTCCTGTCGTAAATTCTTATACGGTAAACCTGGATTAATTAGCAGGAGAAAATGAACGAAAAACTGAAAGATGTAAACTATGTTAAATTTTGGATACTGTATTGATAAAAAAGCAAAACAAAATGTGTTGGGTTTTTTTGTTTGTTTGTGTTATTTTATCAGGATTTATGAACATAATGTTCACGGGACAAGCAGATTGTTGTGATTTAAGTGATTATGGTCAGAAACAACTGAGTTGTGAAACTGAAGAAAAAGGTAAAGGTCTTCCCACTATTTGGTTCCAGATGACTTCTGGTGCATTAAAAAGAAATCCATGAATTACAATGAAACAAATAAATGAAAATAAATAAAATCTCTATTATTAATAATTAATAAAAAGTCAAATGACAATACAAATTTAATTCAATTCCAGTTTATTTGTATAACACCAAATCCCAGCTCCACGCTGCAGAATTAAGGAGAAGACACCTAAAATCAGACAGCCCCTCTGTGAGCAAGCATTAGGTGACAGTGGGAAGGAAGAACTCCCTTTTAACAGGAAGAAACTTCCAGCAGAACCAGGCTCATCTGACACAAACAAAGCAATGATGTCTTGGGGTGTTTGTTACAAGCCTCGCCCAAATGATGAAAGAATAAAAATACTAATCCCACAACATTACAAAATAAAAGGAAATAACATCTAAATAAAAGTCCAGTATTCACTGTCACTATTTCTTTTGTTTCAGATTTTAGTGGGGCCACATTATACATCTGAGCGATATATATATTCACAAATATGTGAATTTTATAGACTTTTCTTCATCTTGATTTTAAAAAAGAGGTTCAGATAAAGCTACCTAAAAAGGTTAAGGAATGAGTCTACAAGCCAAATGGTTGGAAACCACTTGTTTAATCATACTAGTGCACAATTTCTAAAGACGTCATCTGTTTTTTAGTATATAAAATATTAATTGGAGACATAACTGCGTCTGTCAGATACACATTTTGCAGTAAAAAGTACAATTATTCACTTTAAAATGTGGCGAGGGAGAAGCATAAAATAGCACTGACAGCTTTTGGGGAAAAAAATCTTGATCCTGCAGCAGCGCTGACAGTACCACACGACGTGTGAAAGAGCAGTCATCCTGGATCAGTATTAGCTCTGCCCCACGGAGACAAAAATAATCAGATTATTCTCAGGAGCAGCTTGTTTGATTCAGGGCCCTTGTGCTGCAAGGCCTCCACTGTATGTTGCTCTGTTTGTTCACTGCGTCGCTGCCGATGTTTAACCAATGAGAAGAGCATGACTGCTCCCCAAAGTCAGGAGGCATGACTCAAATTAGTTAGAGTGCATCGTCCTTTGAATGATTCATCAAAGAGATCCCAGATCCAGAGACGCAGTGACTGAGGCGACTGCCTGGATAAATGAAAGCTGATGTGAGGTGGGGTAGTGGAATATTTTTCTACCAGATGGGACACGGATATGTCACATATGATAGAGCTGAATACATTAGCCAACATAAACTTTGTTTTATAAATCTGTTATTTAATTTAGGTTGAGGTTTAAATAGTGCTTTCAGTTTTCAATTCCAAGGATTACTGTTTTTACAGGGGCAGATTCTCAACTGCAGCACAAACTTGTAGATTTTTACTGACTGGAATTCTCCCAAGCAGCTTTTAGTGTCTATAATTAGCCCTGCCGTGGAGTTGATGCCCTTCTACAATTTTGTCCAGCTCCTCTTTTGCATATCCATTCCCTTGGGTCACCTCTACATTCTGTGCTGGGAGACCTAGCAAAGATTCCTGTTGCAGCAAACATGACCGTCCATTCTTGGAATTGGTCTACCTATTAACCTGAATGAGTTGCAGGCACCATCTGATCCTGCCAGTAGTGACAAGGACACTAGCAATAAGGAAAGAGAAATTACCTTTGGCCACCTTTTTTGAAGATGGACAACTGAGTCATTGTGTTTCACTGTGAACCTAAACTGTACCCGCTGTCAACTGTACCTGAACTGAAACACTGCTTGAAGTGCTTGCAGCACCAAAGGAACCTGCTATGTTCAGGCTCGTTTTAAGTTTTGAGTACCTTTGGTTTAATTGTGGGATGTATTTAATTTGTGTTCTTTTTCTGTGCCTCCTTAAACCCATTTAGTGCAAGACATTTTCAGTTGTATAATAAACTATTAGAAATGTTTCTATTAGTTCAAGTTCATCTCAAGAACAACTCAACTAACAACTTTTAGAGTCTCCTTCAGCTGGAAAGTTAAGGCCTTGTTTTGAGCAGCCTCCCGACTCACTCTGCAGGTGGCATTTTCCTGCATTTCCTTCACCTGATGTTGTAGCCGAAACAACTCCTCAGCGTACAATTTTGAAGTAGATGCTTTAAATCGCGGACGATGTTTTGGTGGGCTATGAGGTTTTCACGAGTGCTTGCTTTTTTGCTTTTTTCCTCATTTTGAGGGAAATTATTTCATTCCCCTTTTCTTGACTCGTCATTACAGCTTGACTCCATTCCGGGTATGAATTTTCTGTTTCAGATGCTAACACGGCTGAAGAGCTTAACCTTGCACTCCTGAAGTTCCTTTGAAACTGAGATCTCTCAATTTTGGATGTAGGACTTCACATGAATATCCATAGTTTGGATATTTGCAGCCGTCATACCGCTTTTTTAAAGTGTGATGAGTGAAAACTTTTAGTTAGCTTGTTTTCAACATCCTAAGCACCTACCTACACCTTAAAAAGGCCTTTAAGAAACAAATTCCACCACTCAGCAGCCTGACTGAGCTGGCGTATGTATTGTTAGTTTTTATTACCAGCTACATCCATAAACTGTAATAGCTACAGGTAGTATTTTTGTTTTCCAGACTCTTTAGAAGTGAATAGTTACCATGGCAACAACAAAAAAAAAAACTGAAGCCATTATACATAACCCAAACTATATTTCTTAGCTTAGTCAAGCAGTTTATATTTCCTTAACTTCACTATGTTGTTTCCAATGAAAAGTGTCTCTGCTGTGTAAGACCTTGAGTCAGTGAGTGCTGAACCCCTCCAACCTCCCAATGGGGATTTGTAAATGCATAAAATATTAATTAGGCATATTGGGCGCCAATTATTATATATGAGATCAAACACAATAAAACTGAAATATTTGAAAATGGTTGTGAGATATTCAATAATGTCATGTTAATATATCAAGGATGCACTGTCACAATACTTGATACTGCAGTGCATTGTCCGATAGACTGTGTTTTTTTTTTTTACCATATTCTTTTTTACTATACACAGCTATTTTTAATTCTGTTTTATGTTGGCATCTTAAATTTGAGAAATTTAACCTTCTTATGTAAGCATTTGAATGTATGCTTATTTTACTTTAGTGGGATTATTTTCGATTTCACATTAGATTTCACTTTGTTATTGAGCTGTATAATAATCAACTGAACTGCTTTGTTTTTGGTTGTGTTTAAATTCATTTTTTTAACTGCTATAAAAACAGTGAGCCATGATATTTACCTGGTGATTCTATGGAAAATGTTTACAAAGGCAGCAACCCTGTTAGTCAGCTCCCTCTGTCAGCATCCATCTGTCAAAGTATTTTAAGCCTTCCTAGCTGAGTTATTGGAAAACAGGCTGTAAACCTTTTTAATTCTGCTACAATACTGGACATTTTAATATGGGAATCTATAAGAATCGGCTTAGTTTGGGGGCCAGCCTCAAGTGGACATTAGAGGAACTGCAGTTTTCCATGCTGGCTTCATTTTTCTTGCAGAGGGAAAAGAACACAGGGTGAAAATTTTCAGGTCACTAGTTGTCCATGACAGGGTGTTGTGTGTGTGCAGTCTACCTCTGCTTGTATCACTTCATGTTGAGACTGTGAGTACAATAGTTGATTTTTATGTCATGTGGTCCACAGTGCATTTCATGAAGGTCAGGGCACTGAAAACACAGGACTGAGTCTCAGTGGGCAGCCCTAATGGAAACAAACTCCATTAGGAACCCCCTCCCCTCGCCCTCTTTTCTAAGGCCTTGAGAGAAGCCTTTATGCGTTTTTAGTGGTGAATGTGAATCCTGGTCTACAAACGTGCGAGCCCTGGTTCTGGTTTGGCAGCTCAAAGGTCTCAGCTGCAGTGCCTGCAGCTCTTTGTGATTGTGAAACGGGCCAGCGGTGATGTCACAGTCGCCATGCAACAGATTTAATCTAATCCCCTTTCCCCAGATTAGAAAGAAAAATCACTAGAAGGTCTTTTGTCTAAATTACATGTGAGTATTTGTTTAACCTCCATCTTCTACAGCAGGTTTACCATATGCTGTGACGCTCCACCCTGGACTAAGTTTTGACTTCTTTTGTAGGTTATACTGCTCACGGCTGACATAGAAATACA